ACAGTCGGGTTTCCGGGGGCCATAGACCGAATATTCATCTCCCGCCTCCTCCCTCGAACCCTCTGGACCGAAGCATCAGCAGGAAACTCAACCCGACTTGATCTCGTCGCCAAAGCAATCCGCAAATCCGTCGAAACAGGCATCTACAAAGTCAACACCCGCGCCTACGCACCCACGACAAAAGCAGCTGGTGAATGGAACGACCAATACACGCCCGCCGTGAACCCAGCCATGCGAAAGATGGTCATCCACTGCACGACATTTACCAACGACGTGGTAACTTTGCAATCCAAAAAAGAACTTCTAGAGACGCATAAAAGGTTGAGTGCCAGCGGGGTGGCAGATTTGAGAAAGTTGACGCCGGAGAGTGGTGCGTATTTCAACGAAGCAGATAGGTTGGAGCCGGACTGGCAAAAGAGCTTCTGGAGCACGGTCGGGTATAGTCGTCTTCTTGGGATCAAGAAGAAATACGATCCGTGGGCGTTATTTTGGGCGAGTAACACTGTGGGAAGTGAGGATTGGGAACTGCGGCCAGGTTTAGGGGAGGGGGTGATGCCTACGCAGGATGGGAGGGTTTGTCGGGCTAAGAGGGGCGTTGTTGGCAGGGAGGGATGAACATAGGTAGGATGGAGTTGTTTGTTGGTTGGTGTGGAGATGTGTGTGTCAGAGGTTTGTTTACTTTTGACCTACGACCGGGGTCAAGATGGAGAGAATAGAATATTTAAATATCTATTCTATATGCGTCGCGGATTTTAAGTAACGTCTTATTATCACCAAGACACCGGGCGGGCAAGATATATCTTTTAGGATTAGTCCACGTAATGCCTACTATTAGAAGCTCAAAGGGTCTAAATTCCACTGTAAAAGAACAGTAGATCTAGCTACTATAAGCTATAGTAGTATATAGTAACTAGTAATCCAGTTATTTAATTAAGTCTATCTAGAAATATCGTCACGGCCAGCGGTTCGAAGCGTTATGGCTGTTCAATTGGCTCTACGAACAAAGATTCTACTCTGAAGAGAAGAGGAGAAGGGAAGAATGAAACGCGTCTGCGACGCGCTTGTCATAATGTGTCTTCCAGGGTTAGGGTTACAGTACCTAACCCGCTTCTGTACCAGTCGGCTCGTCACAAATACTATAGTATAGTTAAGTAGATTAATTGTCACGATATGTATATAACCCTTGATTTCAAGTCGGCGTTCGACTTGAAATTCTACATCCTTTTGAAGAAAGGGGGTCCGTAGCCTAGTGGTAGGGTTCTAGACTAGTGGATTCGTCACATTAATAGAGTTAATAAAAGGTCGACTAGCCGGCTAGACTAATCAGTATACCAATCAGTCTATTAGGGACCCAGTACAGAGCCTCTACAACTACATAATCGTTAGATCGCTAATTCATACGCCGGCTTACTAGCCGGCTTAGCAAGATAACTAGCTGGCTGATCCAACACCTATAGCGATTGAAATAGGGGGTCGCCGAGAAACTCTATTCCGCCCGGATTACCGAGAACCGGTGTGGCTTAAACTTGACGAACAACCTTCCGTCAAGACACGGAATCGCCGTCTTTGATAAAGATGGCAATCCCGGTGATCTGTGTATCCTCATTTCCCCCATGACCTTTATCCCATCTTTACCGTTGTGGTCCTTATCTGCCTACTCGCCGCCCTTCTTCCGGAATGGGACCGGTTCCGGGACGGGTGTGTGAAATTTTCCCTGTTACTGGGGTGTGTGATTGGGGCCTGCCTGTGGCCGATCAGCGTGCCCCTGCTCATCATCTTTGATTACTGCACAAAGCCGGGAGCGACATGTTGTGGCCTTAGCTGTGTATGAGCTCGAAACAAAACGGACTCGGAGGGAGGGGGCCATGGAAAATCCGACACTGAATACAAGGTTTAAAAGACCCGGAGCTTGGGATTTATCTCAGGTATATGCCTCTTCCGCTGTTACCATAGTTACACAGTGCTAATCATCGCAGTATTTCTTGATAAGTTGGAACTGCAGAGCATTCGACTGGACTGGAATGGGAGAGTAATTGTGATCATCATAGGGTATGGGGATGATGGGGTGGCAGGGAAAGCCACGCACAATGCCGTCAAGGCTCAAAGGGGAGAGCCTTGTTTCTTGATGAACTCTGACCGTTAATACCGGAGTCTGAAGGGAGTTAGATTATCAAACAGAAAGCAACGGAATAAGAACCACTTCGATTCCGGAGCGTTTCCTACACTGGGTTGTGCTTGTTGAATGCAATATTTCCTTCCTTACGTGGTGGTGGCGGTGTGTGGAGCGTAGAATCCAGCATAGAACAGCATGTGAAAGGAAAGCCAGAGATAAACTTTACAAAAAGTTGAAAAAGAGAGAGAGAAACGCAAAAGCCTCGGAAATCTCCTAGACGCATTCTGATCGCCCCTTTCATTGACCGCCAACCAAAGTCTATTAAATATCTGGTCACGGGAGGTTAAGGTTTTGACACCACGGAGAAACCAGAACTCAACATCTCATATCTGTTCCCGTCTCTTGGCCTTTTGCTTCAACTTTCTATTTCTTGGTGTTCCGTCTCCAATATCAGCACCCTCTCGGATTTCAATCCTTCCACGTTCAGATTCACTCATTGCCCAGCACTGAGTCTATCAAATCCCGATATCCTACCCTACGCTTTCACATCGCGCTTTAATAGAGTCCCCTTCCAAACACTTGTTCTAGCTTCGACCAGGTCTTCCCGGGACAAGCGAGACTCGGCAATCGACAAAATGGCATCTGGCGATTTTGGCCTCGTGCTCTTTCTCGGTCTTTATTTGGCTGGCGTCTTACTCTTTCTCCTCATATTCCACAATCACTTCTTCAAACGCAAGTATCATGGGAACGACGGGTGTTTCGGAGTCCTGGTGTTTCTGGGCTGCTTGCTATCGGCCTGCGTATGGCCGATCACTCTGCCCATGTTCATCACCTTCTACTATATGACGGAGCCGAGGCATACATGCTGTGGTCGGAGATACAAGCCCCGTCAGTCGGCAGGCGGAGATGGAGGGCAAGCCCGCGCTGAGGGAGCATCTTCACCCAGCAGCTTTTCTCTTGAAGACTTTTCGTCAGATCCGGTGGGAAGGGAAGCGTTTACAGGAAGACCTGCGAGGTCGCCTTTTGATACCGACTCCGAATACAACTCCAAGCTTTGATGGAGCCGGCACGGATTCAGCACCCCAAGTACGTACTCTGCTTTGTAAATCGTTGACATTCTTTATGAACTTCCTGTATTCAATCACATACTGATGAAGCATGATGTTTAGCTGCCAAATGATTTGGGATTATTACAATCTACGGGGGTGTGCTTGATAGAGGATCGGTCTTGTCCATGGTGAGCTGGTGGGCGGAGATAATGAGACGCACATGAAGAGTCGCCTCAAATAGAGTTGACATGGAAGGCGAATTTCAGTTTTTTGTGTGGCTCGTGTTCAAGAAGTCAAAAACAGCGTTAAGGTTTGGGGAAATATTTCCCGTCAAACTCTGATAGTCCAACTTGTGATTGACACGCACAGAAACACGGGCCTTTAACTCACTGCTCCCGATATTAGTTTACTATCTAAATTCACCTTCAACTACTGTTCCAATTGGTAAAGTGGTGGAAGCTCAGTCAAGATTTAATTCTCTAACCATTCACTCTTCCCGGCCGTTGGTACTGAACTGGGCCATTCCTTCAACGACATGGACATGGTGGCGGTCTCCCCAGACGGAATCGAGAAGCCCTCAATCTCAAAGTACGACATGGACCCCAACACCCAGCCGCTGGATGATGTACTCCTGGGCTTTATCCCAAAAACCACAAACGAAATATTATTCCTTGTTTGCTTCATCCTCTTCGGGATTCTTACCTTGTTCAGTTCCCTACCACCAACCATGAATGCGCTGCTTAATCATTATCCCAACCTCAGGAGAAACCACCCTGTACTTGAACTCCTCATTATGCTGCTCTTGGCAATCATCTCTTTGGCGGCTCCCCCTGTGATGTGGTTCGTGGCGATAACAATTACATGTATTCGCTTTCGGCCCAAACGACCCACCGCCAGGAGGAGTCGAGACGTGGAGAGGGGAAATCGCACCAATACCACGACCATCACTGGACTGAGACAGGCGCCAAATTCGCCAATACAACAAGCCACGCCGGCAACAACATCAATACCAATTACCTCATCAACAGGAGAGAGACGCAACGAACTCCCTCCGGCATACAGAAACATCACAATTCCACTACCAACCCATAGCTCGTTATCGGTGAACAGGGTGCAGCAGGTTTCCGTGGTCCCAGACACATCATGCAGATGCGCTCCACGAGATTCTCGGACAACCAGACCTCGCAAGACAACCTGTCATTGTGTGCCCGTGGACCATCACCCACAGCTTTTTCCAGAATATCCAGAGCTTTGTTATGAACTTCAACATTCCGAACCTCTTCCTGCATATCAAGCGTTTCCTCGGGGAGATCAAAGTCTGGCTTGAGTGGGAGAAGGGTTTTGCTTTCACGGGATTGGGGATTTCGGTTCATGGGTTGGTGTTATCATTGCATTTCTGTTTTGGCCGCCGTTGGTTGGGTACATTGATTGATGGTGTTGTGGGCTGATTGCGAAGGGACGCAATGAACAATATGGGATTCAGTAGTTGCTTTTATGAGCAAACTTCACATATTAACAAATAAACACATGGATGCGCTCAATCAAAGATGGCAGGAATGGGTATTGTTGGAAAGTGAGTAGTAGAACATAATAAACTTACCTGCCTGCATCTTTCGGCTTTTAGTTACTTTGTTAGAGAAGGATGTCAATTTGTTCAGCGGTTATAACAAAAAAAGATACGGAAGAAAAAGAAACCTCTGCCCAAGTGAATACTGGCTGGAGTAGGGATAATATCATGGACAATGAGAAAGCCGAGCAAACCATCAGGGTATTTATTGAATACAATTTAGAATAAAAGTGGTGCATGCGAGAATAAAAAAGAACAAAAGAAATGTGAATGCCCCACAACAGGATTGAACTGTTGACCTTCGCATGAACCTTATGGAACCTCTTTAAGAGAGTTCTATTAGTACGACGCTCTAACCAGCTGACCTAGCAGGGCTGTTATCTTTCTTGGATGGTTTTATCTCTTCTAATCAGATTACTTGCATGGGTGGTTGTCCCTTCTACAAACTTTGTTTCCTGCCTCGGCCGATGGAGTGGTGGTGGGTCGCATGGCTGGATCACACTTTCAGGATTAGGAAAGGGTGACTGCAGTGGCTACTCTCACGGGTTTTATCTTATCAAGGTTAGCCGGTATCAAGTTCATTCCAAATATGAATTTTACTTGGTAACAATCAGCATGTGTGATGGGTTGGTTGGCTCCGAGAATGCAAGGCTGCCAAGCGCCTGAAAACTACAAAGTGCAAGCGTCATCTTCGTGCAAACAGACTGGTATCGCCGGTGACTGTATTCATACCGTAAGGCCCTGATCGTTATGATCTGGGCTACGGCTAGGTAGGTTAAAAAAAAAGGAACAAAAAGCTGTTGTGAAGGTAGTGGTAGATAGTTAGTGGAGTGAGTGTTGACTTGGGCTGTATTTTCAACGAAATCTTGTAATTCCGTGGTGGACCCCTATAATCAGTTGGAATTTGGCCATTCCCCAGATCACACCAATCACGCTCTAATAAGATACTATTATGCGCCGCCTCTTGTGATTACCATCAAGCCAACAACTGCCCCGATCAGCATACCAATGAATCCCGCCCAAGCAAAGAAGCCCCGACTCCTGCTCGTACTACCGATGGAAATGGCGAAGACAAACCCTGTGTGGAGGGGGATAAGAACGATGGCGCCTGCCACGAAAAAGGTCATTATGGGCAATAACACCAAGGTCGTCATACAGAGTGTTGTAAAAACCAGCGCAGGGAATATGAACCATCGTCGCTTGCACAGGCTCCAGATTTCCTTCATAGGGTTGTATTGTTCGGGGATGTTTGTCGTGATTTCTGATGTGGTGGACATGATCCTGCCTCCGTGGAGATCTCTCTGAATTGCGCTGTGGAGCTGGCCGTTCGTCAAAGAAAGTTCGGGCTTTTCTTTGCCCGCCATTGCCATCTCGAATTGGACAGTCGATGCGAAAGTCAAAGCAGATTTGAACTCTGATGGTACCTCTTTATCAACTTCATCAAGTTGAACTTGCTTTTCCAACGTCTTGTGCGCTTTGAGCCAAGTGAAATAGGTCCCAGATGTCCAGATAAGCAAAAGTATTGCCATGAGGAAAACTTGGAGAAAGGAGAACCCCCACTGGTACGACTTCTGTTGCTGGCAACTGCCGTGCTCTTGAACATAATCCAGTGTATATAACGTGTTGGTCCCTTGGATGTTGAGTGCCAAGTTTGAGGAGTCGGCGAATGGCGTCGTTTTTGTTTCCGGATCAGTCCAGCCGTGACCAAAATATGACCCCGGGGGTATGTAGAAGGCAGAGATGTTGAGACTTGGCTCTGGTATAAATTCGCCCTTCCAAGTTGTCCTGATTTTAGCTGGCTTCCCTGTCTTATTGTCTAGACCGTAAAAACCATATTGTTCAACGTCTGTGACAATGTGGCCAAAATAAATTAATACCCATGGACATGTTGATAGGAGCGCTGGTTAAAATGGAGATGAGCTGTCACTTACACTGGGAGACATTCCAAGGGAGCTCGCATGCCTCTCGATATCTCCATTGTTCGCAGACCCTCACGCTGGCTTCTGCAAAGTACCCATCGTCTGTAAGCTGAAACGCCTCTGATCCTATAACGGTTTTAGAATAATGCATTGCGCCAAGTCGACATGAATGAGTTGTGCTCACTGCCCAAAGTCTTTGTCATCTGCTTTCTTATCTCAAAGAATGGAACACCGAACATAAAGGGAACAACAAAGTCTCTGCCATAACCCACCCGCTCGCCGTCATGTAACACATAGGCTGCCAACACAAACTTCTCAAAGGGTATGAGACTGTTGGTAGTATCGGCCACAAATCCTGCGAGGTTGGGACGGTATCCTGTCATTGCGCTCATCATGATGGGGAAAACGAGGACAAACAGCATGCTGAACGGGACAAAGATCATTATCGACTTAGACCTCCGAGCCTGGTGAGATACAAAGTCCCGAATGACACGATAGATGCCAACCAGGCTCGGCTGTCGGTCGAGAAATATCGCCCAGAAGCTGTTGTAAGTGATAGGTTGTGTACTCATGGATAACCAGAAGTACGTCGAAAACGCCTTCCATGAAAAATACGCCAACATGGTCTGGCCTCCTCTGCCGACCATCTATCAAGAAATTTTCAAGCAGTCAGTGCCTTGCTTTTGATTGAAAGCGCCCCAGGTCGTTGTGACCACTTACAATATCCCATATGAGATCGATAACCTTCACCTGAGTAAATGTAAGATCTCCAAATCCATGTGTGATCTGAAAGAAGCCCGAAGGATCGAAGATGTTGTACGTCGTCGACCGAGCATCAAATGCATCGTTGGGTAGACAACCGGGAGACCGCAAGCCGGTCTCAATAAGGCCCTCAAACGGGAACGAGCTCATTCCGATAAGATACAGGTATACTGGCAGAACAACCGCCGTCGTAAAGAGGCAGTATGTCCAAAAGCCTAGGAGATACCATTTGCCAAGTGTTTTCCACTGTGTTGACCGTAGGTCTGAGACGACATCCGTAGTGAATCTCGAAATCCATGTCGGTTTATCCTTCTCGATCGTGGGCAAGGGTGGTGCTCCAAGCTCTTCCGAATAGGGACGTGTCGGGGTGGCCGGCAAAGGTCTTTGCTCCCTGGTGAGTAATGATTCCGTTGACGACATTTTTCTCCTTTTGCTTAGTTATAAGTTATATTCGAACGAAAAAATCATCAACATGGTCCTCGTGGCCAAATGAATTGCCGGCGAAATACAGCATGTTGCTTGAAAGTCCTGGGACCTCGGTGAGGTCAAAGAACTGGACGTCAAACTTGTTCTTAACCCGGAATCTTGGGGGCCAGATGCAGCAGAGGTTAATCTGAAACCATTGCCCTCCCTGCCGTATTTCAGCTCTTGATTGTCAGTGATTGTATTGGTGCGTCAAGCGCCAACCTCGGACTTGGAGTTATCTTAGTGAACTCAGACCTCGTTGGCTCTTACATAAGCGGGTACGTACCTATTGACAGCTGGTGAGTGGTGTAGGTGACTCAATTACACAGTTTCCTGGGCATAAAAGTGGGTCGCCACCCGCCCCCAGCCGACACCGTGGAATTGAGGTCTGAGTTTACTGAGATAAGACTTGGAAGTGATTGGCGCTAGGGTATGCCTAAAAAGGGGGCTGCCATGTTGCACAGCCAGCGGCAAATCTAAATTGGCCTTGGCAGATCTGCTGTGTGACTCTGTGAGGCCATACGATGCGTGCGTGCTAGTTGGCCGACACTGACAGCTGGGCAGAGTTTGGAGGCTTGGTACATCTGGCGACCCAGAAATTCTAGACCTTTCAAGGATCAGGGTCAAGCAAAAGGTAAGCATACTAAGAAGGCAGTTTCTCATTCTCAGAGATCAGAGATACCTTGGCTCACCACCTCAAGCCACCTCAACGGCTACTAATACCCTTCGTACCGCCTAGGACGTCTCTATTCAGGTGGGCATCAATGTCCTCGATGCTTTCATCCTCCACGACGCTTTCAGCTCCAAGTCAACGGTCAAGGCTCTCGGGGCCAAGGATGGGATCATCGGCCTGGGCTACAAACTCATCCTCTATCTTCAAATTAGGCAGCCCAACAGGCGGCGTCGAAATTGGCAGTTCAAAGATTGTATGACCCCCTGCTTTCACTAGATGCCCCAATCACATGCATCAAGATGATTGTTGAATCCACGTTGAATTTTCTTTTCCGGTTTCTCTTGAAATACATGTAGAGAGCACTTGATACTATGTATACCAAACTCAAAACCCATCCAGTCCTTATCCCGCCATATCTCCTCTCAAAGCAACTCACAGGCGAGGACACCAAACGCAACAGCCTGCAAAAATGGCTGACCAGCTGGACGACGTAATCGCAGGTCATGTGTCATACTGTGCACAAGACGCTGTCTAATCTGTTCTTTATGGTGATATTCCAGGCACTTCTTCAGCTCCTTGACAAAGTCCACGCTGCTCGCCGGCACCCTTTCTTGCGGGGTTCTGATTCCCGAGACCACCGCGGGCCCGACGGGCTTGCCCGGGTACATGGCGTGATTCCATCGTGACAGCTCGTCAACACCGTGAGTGTCTGACCAGACGGCAGTGTACTTTCTGTCCATGGCGTAAAACACCAAGCTTTCGTTGTTTCCCCTCTCTGGCAAATCACTCTCGTTCCTGTCCTTCCGTGTCATGTCGTAATCGATGAACCAGATTGTTGTGGTGGGTGTTGAGTCGTCGCCTTGATTCCCGACGCGTCTGCGCTCAGCTTGACCTTCGGGGCTGTGAGTCCAGTAGTCGTACTCCAGTTCAAACCACGCGAGCCGGTGATACCAGAATGAAAAGATGTCATCTTCCCACGGGAAATACCAACCATCCGATACGTCAACCTCCTCGAAAGGTGTAGTAGGGTCCTCGTAAAAGTCCACTGCCTCCTTTAATTCCAACTCCGGCTTGAAATCTAAGGCAATATGAGAGAAAACTGCGGCGTCGACGAGGTCCATTCGCGGCGCGAGTTGTCTGGAGGACATAAATCGTCGGGGCCGAGGCGGACTTAGGGGCCACTCCGGGAAAGGCGTCGACAACACGGTCGAGCTGGTACCGGGACCGAGGAAGCATTCGGGGTCCACATGACTTATGTATCCCCAGCACAGGATAAAGAGGCCATTCTTTGGAAAGACGGTGATGCATCTCGGCTTTGACCATTGCTCTGGTTCATCTTGTCCATCTTGTTGAAAAGCCCATACATGAGACCCCAATATCCGCGAGTCCGTATCGTTACGATATAACCTCTCCATTGCACGCCGGGATTCGGCACAGGCGTTCCAGAGACTCATGCCGTGCAAGTACATGGAGGGGTTTGAAAGGCCCTCTGGGAATCGCGGAGCACAGTCTTGAGTGGCTGTAGAGGAAGGATGATGGTCGATACTGATTATTTG